CGTTATTGCTGTAACGTTTGATGTTGTAGTCATAGTTGTATTCTCAGTTGTTGTGTTATCTGATGTAATAATAGTTGTTGTGTTAATTGTAGTAGTGGTGGTAGTTGACGATGTTGTTGTATTTGTTATTGTAGATGTGGTAGCGGCGCTAACATTTGTCCTGGTGTATACAGGAATTAGTCCTAAGACAACTGCTACTGTTGCAAAGCCACCGAAAGCAGCACCTGCTATTAATATCGTTTTTAACGCAACCATGAGGACTTAGTACTAAAGTTTGTTCGAAGAAAATAATATATGATAAAACTTGTTGGTAAATCAGAAATCAAATATTGAAAGTGACTACGTTCGTTGTTGATTTTTATTTTTTGTTTTGCCTCAGAACATAATGGCCTTCTTTTGGTGTATCTCTTTTTCTCGTCTTTTGAAGGTGTTTTTATAAAAAAAAAATATACACTGGCTTTTGCTTCTCGTCTCTATGTGATACGCCTACGAGACTAAAAAATAAGATATTTTTCTATAGAAAAAAATTTCTCTTCGAAATGATAATTTTTTCCGTTAACAACTTTTTTTTTCTTTTTCTTATTCATCATTTAAGGATGACTTTTTCTTTATAATAACTAGTCGGATATGTGTCCGTGATGTTGAAACATAATGAAAACTAAGAGAAAAGAACGGTTTCAATATAGGAGTAGAGAAAACAAGAAGAAAAGTAGTAACAGAGGATACAAAAGAGCGATAGAACATTCCACAATCTCATTGATTCAATCTTACAATTTAAGATATTTGTATCAATACAAAAAGAATGTAGAATGTGAATATGTCAAATAGGTATTTTTTGAAATCTTCTTTATATGTTCTTTGTCATTTTATTGATTAATCATTTTTGCTCTCGATGCTTTACGATTATTCTATATTTGAAAGGCATCATTATTAAACTTAAAATAACATTGTTTGTACAACATGCTTTTGGTTGCAAGCAGATCAAAAATTAAAGAGGAAAGAGACTGAATAATTTTTTTTACAAATCTTCTTGATATTACATGATGAATTGTAAGCAAGACGATGCGATGTTCTTATTTCGTAGAGTATCATAAAGTATTTATTAATTATGAAATATGATAAATAGTTGAATAATTTTCAAGAGAATATCCGTAATCTAAATTATTTGCTCTTTAGATTTAATGAGATTTAATGTTATTGAACTAGTGCGAAACAAAAATAAGATGATTGGATTAGTATTCTCAAAAAAATAGTTTTACGTTTCTTTCAGCTCGAATGTCACTGTTATTTAGATACTATATCACAACAGAGAAATACTGTTACAGTAGAAAAAAAAA